CGTGGTGATGAAGATAATCAGCCAACCAATGAATGAAGATGTGAAAACTAGCCAGTCAGAATTAGAAAGGCAAAATGCGCACACCTTTATCAAACTGAAACCAGTTTTGAAATCATCTGCAATAACTCAGTCAGCATACAGAAACAAGATTCGTATTTTCAACACAAAAAATGTTAGTGAAGTTGTGGTGAGAGCTAGCTGTTAGTCAAAATTGGTGGACAGTAATTTACGTCAGTGTGTATGTCCCACCCAAATATTGGTAGTGAGAAAAATGAGAACAGAGGCTTTGCGTAAGCGGATGCAGTTAACGTATAAATGATCTGACACTCAGGAAACAGCCACAAAGAGATGCACGGTTAACTATCTGTGAGGAACAACCACCAATCAGAAGACTTTGTTTGTCTGCTAACAATAACCTATAATAATATACATGAAAATCTATAAATATGTGTTGATTTCCTTAAATAAACGATCTGTTGCCTGACTCTTGTCTTCTTTTGCTACAAAGTCAGTTAATACTTCTATTTCGGTGAAAAGCTTGCACTGCGCATACATCACGAAAAGCGCTTCCAACAGCCAGTTACAAACTGTTGTCAACAGCTGCCATTTTCACTGGCTGTCTCAGTGTTGAAGACAAAATTGCCAGGCGGTCAACTGGCTAGAAAGAAAATAGCTCAACAAATATGTAGGACAAAATAGAAATGGTTTGATCAGGCATATCTGTCTGTCTGTCTGTTTTCGACATAGAACTATACACAAATGTGCGGAAGTTCAAGTCACCACACTCCGTGTAGCACGCGAAGCAAGAGAAGAAAGTACAAGAAAAGCATAATAGAAACAGTGAGCAGAGGTGTGAGACAAAGGAGTAATGAAGAAAAACAAAACAGTTTCATTGGAGATCATAAGTCAAAAGGAGTGGATGCATCTGCGCTAGCCACTGAGAACGATTTTGAGCCATGTCACCAATTGTTTCCAACCATAGATTTTTACCGTCCCGAGGACCCCAGCCTGGAAGTCTACACCCTCCTACGTGGCTTAGACCAACTGTTGTGGATTTCATTGACTGGTGCCAAGTTTTTGTTTGACCGCCGCTAGCTTTTTTCCAGCCTGACCCTATATCCGCTAATATTGCTCGTCAAGGGAGGCGATGGCTTGGCATACGTAACACATGTCCAAACCATCTCAGTCTTTGTAGCTTCACGACTTCGTCGATTGATGCTGAGGAAGGAGGCTATCGAATAATATCGTGCGCAATGTAGGCCATCGCTTGAGTAGAATTTGAAGGGGAAGCGAAAAATGAGTTGTTTGTGCGAGGGTTACATGGAGGAGAGAGATGGTAGCTTATAGGCGATCGTGGGGCTAGCCGGATGAAGAGGTAAATAACGTGTAGATGTGCTGTCGAAGCTCTATGTTCCAGTAGGAACCCAAGGGACTACTAATAAATATATAATAATTTTATTTGGCATTAATGTTTACTCCCTTTCCGATCAAACGTTTGGTACAGTGATCTTGAAGAACTCCGTGAATAGACAAAGTATACACAGTCTAACGTTATGTTGACAATGAGACTTACTTTTTTGCATAACTGTAACTGACACACATACAATATATGTATATATTTGAAAACAGACTGAAATGTTGTCATAAATATTATTATTATTATTATCAACAATGCATAAATCAGAAAAGCAGACACAACCAAAAATGCTACTGTGTGACAATGATGTATCCCCCAGAAAGCAGATAACAGCAAGCTGTCTCAAACGAAGACTAATTTGAACATTCTTCGGGGAGGGAGGCGGGAGGGCGGTACTGACATGCACATCACACATAACATTTTCAACCAATAATAACTTTAGAGCATTACTTCTTAGCCATCTCAATCATGGTTATTGCTTGATATAGATGATTGGTTAACTAATGAGATGGAAAAGCTTAACTACTTTTTTTTCACTACTTGTTTCTTTTTTTTCATGCATTTAGGTGCATAGAGGAAAGAAAAGTATTGGAAACCTCAGTAAAATTCTGCATTAGTTCTCTAAAATCAGTAATTATCATCTTATCTCACTTAGACTTTGAAAGCAGGATGATGCGATAGTGAAGTGTAACTAGAGTAATTAAAGATGAATCGTAAGATAAATAGGCGAGAGTTTTTAGGCTATTCAACTGTCACGACCTGAACCAACTGCCAGCTCATGAATCCAGTCAGTGTTATAAGCTGGTAAATGTTCCCTTACTTGTGACGGTGACCAATCGTTGCACTATATTATATAGTGGATTAGTAGAAATCGGGCTAACCTCTAGTGAGTGGTTGAATGATCTAATAGGTAGCCTTCTAATCGGAAGATCACAAATTTGTGCCCCGATGGATGAGTCTTACAGAAACAGCTGTCTACCACTCCCCCTGTTTTTCAGTGCTTCGCTAACCGACATCAGCTTGTAGTCACATTTACAACTAGTCGAATCCTCTGCGAACCAACTCCTAATAGGATAAGTAGATCAGGGAGTATACATCGCTGGGTACAACAATTATCACTGTTCCCAGTTGATGACAGAAAAAAAATCCCCCAACCTGACAGATATAGAAGGGAGAAGCAAAAGTTGAACAAACCATCACTTTTAAACAGAGTACTAAGTCGATAGGGTGAGCTGTCGATGGTCACCAGTAGTATATATTGGAATTCTTGAGAAAATTAGGCTATTCAAAAGAATTAAGTCCACATCATTCAGCTCCCTCCCTATTTCAGAGCTTTGAGACTCTTCAAGAGCTCGCATTTATCACTCTACAGGGCGACCAGTCCAAGACTTTCAGGTTACGAGGTGGCACATTCGCCAAACGCTCACATGATACGGTTTCAGTTCCCAGCTGACGTACTCATAAACCTCGCTTAGTTTACCAGTCAGCAGAAGCCTCTAGTAGAGAGAAAGAGGTGGATGTTAGGCTAGCAGTCCTGGCAACATAGCAGAAACAATATCATCAGCGATAATGAAAATTCAAGGCTGGAAGCTTGATCCACTGGGAAAGCGAAGGAATGATTTTATCCCTAAACTTCAATTATATGTCATTCAGGATTTCATCATGAACTGATATTTGTTAGAGAACCATTGGAAAACCATCTGGGATTACTGGAGACCTGTCTAGTTGACACTTGCTAGTGGTGGCGGCATATCGTCAGTTGGCAGAAGTTGGAATTGATGAACCTTTGGATTTGGGTCCCAGTGGCCTAATAGTCTATAGGCTCACCTTATGACTGAGCCGTCCTGGATTCGAGCTCCAGAGAGCGTGTACTATTGAAGAGTGCCAAGCTGAGCTGACGAAACAACTGCCTAGTACTCCCAGCTGGTTTTTCAATGGTTCTCTAACCGGTGTCAGTCAGCTAATGATGATATCCTCCAACCAATCAGACAAAATTCCTAAAAAAACATTTAGTTGAAAAAAAAGAAAGAAAGACCAAATACACAGTATCAAATGTTATCATTCTATTTCCCAGGTTGTCATCATCTGCTGCAATCTACCTGAAATTATAATGGTTATTATCGCCAGTGTGTTGATGAAACATTCCTTGTTTATAACGATATGTATCTGTATTATTTCACCGTCACAAAAAGTCAGTCTTTAGAGAAAAAAAACCTTGGCAGGACAACAAAAATACCTTCTGTCTTACAGGCCATCAGCGTGGATTAATAAAGACACTGTACGACATATAGCCAGGAAGTTATGCCCGCTTAAAAAAAAAGGTGGACGAAGAATTAAACCTTATTGAGATATAACCCACCGGAAAATAGGTAGGTATCTAAAGGGATTTATTTAAAAGTACAGCAAAGAAAAAGACGAACCAACGGAAGCATTCAACGATTGAAGAGAAGAAAGGGTTCATTTTTTCTTTTTTGATTACAGCTTGATTCCACACTGTATTTTTGGTACAAGTATGGAATTTTCAGCGTAGATATCGGTAGCCCAAAATTCGCAGGTCGACCATAGATATCAGGTGTGCGTCGGCGTGGGCTCGAACCTCGAACCAGGTGCATGGTCGGCGAGAGTCCTAACCACTGTGCCACCGACGCGCATCATTCACTCATACAAAGGAGAAACAGTATCATAAAAGATTGACAAGAGAATGAAAAGAGCAATAAAAAGATGCTTCCCTGAAGCTAAGCTTGTAACACTATATACAGCATCATATGCTTTATAAGTCAATGCCAATTAGATTAGTACCCTGTTGATGTCAACTCTAAATGTGTTTATAAATTTACTTGCACTTGAGGGAACAGATTCATTGGAAGGATAGAAAAAAAAGGGCCTCAGTCCTCTGTTTTCAGAACATATCTCAAGAAACTTACGTCTAAAAGAAAGTAAGTATTCGCAAAGGGCAGTTACCCGACCACCTGTGGATATGGGTCATTTCTTCGAGATTTATAATCCCTTCAAAATATTAGATATACACAGGACGGCAAATTGCTAAAGCAAATGCAGTCAAACATTTCAAACCAAACTTATGCATATATATATATATAAAGGGAGTATGATCAACCAGTCTCTCACTCCCGTGGTAACTGCACTTTGATTACATCACTAAAGAGAGTAGTACTGCTATGCGATGTTACAGTAGTGTTCCTAATACTGGTTGTGTCATCGCCAACCTTATTTCCCCCCTTATCTCTTTACTAGGGTTACAGTTTAGCTAGTAAGCTAAGCAAAAGATTGAAGATTGCATCATCCGGGAATCGAACCTGAAACATGTGGATAGTTTGCCATCTCTACAGTGAAAAATGGTAGCGTTTCATTGTCAGCGGCAAATTATATTGCATGTAGCGCATGCACTCCAAATGCCGAATCATGCCAATATTCAAACATGCAGTTCACGGAAACAAAATCAACAGAATGCATCTCGCATCCATCATAGTTTTGACATGCAAATAGCGTCAATCAGCAGAGGGCAAGCAGGGGTGGTTGGCGGGCGAAAGCATTTATAAATCTAAGGAAACAGTCAAACACACACCGTTAGTAAATAATGTACGGAAAGCTTGTGGTTCCGAGACTGGACCAGTAATCTTATTCTTGGAGTCAATTGATGACCAAGGTGAATTGGTTCTACTCGTGAATAATCCATTATTGTTGTTGTTGTTATTGTTATTATTATTGTTCTTGGTGTCGGTGTTTTTGCTAGCGATTGTATTCGGTAGAGTTCTATGACTAGCCAAACGTAACCATATCCGATAATCAGTACCGGGGCGTAAATGTAGCAGGGTGAAACAACAACAGATTGTCTGGGGCAACGGTATTATCCCGGTAGCATTCAATGGGCTGCTGGCTTCATTCGATAGACCGAATAACAATTCATAGGATATGATAGAGTACATTAATTCAGGCAGATTTGGTCGATCCCAGCATATTTTTGCACTGACATTTGTCAGTGTACGTAGGTGAACATTTTTTGGTCTAGGCAGATCGAAAGCTGATCACGGCGTCGGTGAATGAAGAAAGAAATGGGTTGAAAATATTTAATAATTATGCAAAAATCAATAATCTTGTAGACCAGCTTCTTTTTTTGAAAAAGTGTTTTGTTACACAGAGACTTTATGTCAATCAGAAAGTTGTTTCTACAGAAAATCGTATTCCAAAAAAAAACAACAACAACAACAAGCAACCACTTTGACGAATAAGAACGCGACGAGTGGGTAGTGGTCGGTGCTGTTGTGACATGGGGGAGGGGGAGGTGATATAGCAGTCGTCAACCCATCTGTAGAGGAGAGTAGTAAGTAGACTAGAGTGGAGGTGTGTTGCTGAAGCCCTATATTCCACTCTAGCTTAATTAGAACAGACCAGGGAATAGTCAGCCCTCAGGTTAATATTATTGGCGTAGTCAAATGATATTTCATGATCGGCTGGTCTGTGTCGAAATCAGTGTACCTATTTCAATCTCAGAAGAAATAGCTGAAGATGAATTAAGCATTGCATACGATAATTTGATCGAAAATAGCTATCCCGAAAAATTTATCAGGAAACACATGACAAAGAAATCGGTGGAAAAGGACTACTCACTACCTGTAAAAAAGAAGCCACTTTATACACGACTACAATTCAAGGGCAATCGATATACCAAGTGAGATAATTACGAGGAAGTTAAAAAAAATCAGTTCAAAGAACTTTCAATGCTGGTGGCGAACTACACGTCTTCTTCTCTACACGACCAATGGTGCTGCCTCGACTGAAAGATGAAGTACCTAGACCAGACTAGCTGGCCACTTCAGATTGTATCCACTAATTCAACTGCAAGTGTGCTTTTGGAGCGAGTTATATTGGCCGTTGTTGCTCTAGGAACTTGATTTTTCGTGTTCGCTCGAGAACATCTCCCAGTGTGTCTAAGTAAAGGTGTAGTGAAAACCATCATCAACAGTTCGATATTGGACCATCTGGTGCAAACCGGCCGGTCGGCTGATCACAAAGCCAGCCAGCCAGCCAGCCAACGTGGAAGAATCCTTCTCTATCATCATCTACCGTGTGCCTAATAAATTGACAAAATCATCAAAGCACCGCATGCTCCAACACACCAAAGGCTATTGCAGTTCGCCTCAACCAACCAGTGGTCTGTGTTCAAAAGAAGTAAGTCCAGCCAGCTAGCCACTACAGCTGCCCTAGCTGGCCTTCAGTAGAGACTATAAACTCACGAGTTTGTAGTATTATCCTTCCTAATTTTTCTGATACTATTGAAGTGTAATCCATTGGTATTATCATTATTATTATTGATTCGATGTTATTTAAACAGCAACATTAATGTTGTTGTTCATAACACTAATTCATTCATTCATTCATTCATTCATTCATTCATTCATTCATTCATTCATTCACTATAATGGATGGATATATAATTGTAGAGCGTGATGATGAAGGGGTTATCGAAAAAAGAGTACTCTTTGTTCAGTATACATTCTTTTGTCAATTTTAATAGGCATTTTTAGTCAGTTAAAGTATAAATATGTCAAAATCATGACAGGTCTCTATTTGATACCAGCTGATGACGAAATCTACACACTCCTAATCAGCTGAATCCTTACAATGCAACACTTGAATAGGGAACTGGTTTAACACTGGTAGAATTAACTTTCAGTCGTTTCAATTGTTGCTAACAAAACGATAGAAACTCATTTATTTTATTTTTATTCTACTGCTTTGCCTTCACTATGCAGCATATGGCTTCAAGCTAGAGCTTTGAAGCCTTGGCAACAGCGGTCTCATTTTTCACAGAGTGAAATCGCTAGTCTCACTCCCAACCTTACTCTCTTTGCCGGGTTTATTATCAGTTGAGAGATATTTGGAAGTAAGTCAGTGGGGGATCGAACCCTGAACCACCTGACTGACTGGTGAGCATCCCACCTTTGCATCACCGACGCTGTAAATGAACGTGAACATTGAACGTTGGTTCATTGGCCTTGGTCGCCTTGGGCGGGCAACTTGAAGGCGCGAATGATTCAATCGTGTAAAAGTTGGAAGAAGGCGAAAGAATACAAATAAAAGTACACTATATTTATTGATTTTGATTACCAAACAATGCAACTTCTTTCTTACAAGTACCGGTGTTTCGGAGTTAAAGTCAAGAAGCAGTCGTAGTAATTATCGATTCGGAGCGTCTTCGCAAATAATAGGAACTCAGGGTTAAGTTCCTTGACAGACGCACTATGGAAACTAAAGTTTCGTGTGTTTCAAACAACATTAAAATCTTAGACATAGGACTCATTTAACTGATAAGCTATGCGAAATCAGAAGAGAGCAGTAGACACTGAGAATAAAACAGAAACTTGTATGCATTTAACCAAAACTTACGATAGTCATTAGTTTGTACTTCAATTTGTGCCGCCACTCCATAACCGTGTACAGTTTGACCAGCCAAACTTAAATAATACCGTGTACTTGGTTCTAGATCGGTCATCAAGTATTGTGTGGCGTCTGCATCAATATCACGTGTTTCGGTGACTAATGCCTTTGTACTCTGTTGCTGTTGTTGTTGTTGTGTATAATCTAATGGTTTGATTAGACTATTTGTACTGGCTGGTCGAAATCTTAACTTGTAACCAAGTAGTTTCTGATCATTTGGCATATTTGGCGGTGTCCATGTTAAATGGATGTTTGTTGGTTTTATAGATACACCACGAAAATTGGTCGGTGCAGTTGGAACTGTTCGTTGTGTTGTTTTTTTTTGTGGGGAGGGGGAAGAGAAAAATAGAAAGAAAAACATGTATTTCTAGTTAAACAGTGCAGATAGGTTATAGATGGGACATGGGCAGTAGGCTTGGACAACAGAATAAAGCGAACATGTTATATATATATGTATATATATAATACTCAATACAATGAGTACAATGTTATATAGAAGATATACATGAATGTATAATAATATATATTGTTAACATGCTTAAACACATTGTGCAGCAAAAGTAGTAGTAGTTGTAGTAGTAGTAGATAAGAATGTGATTGAGATATTAGACAGAAATGAAGTTGAAAGATAAACACAGAAGTGGTTACACGTTGTGAGGCTACACGTATAAAGAAAAAGAAAAACGGAACACTTACTTCCAATACACATTTTCCCCTGATACATCGGTTATTTCAGCTAAATCACTTTATCTACTTATATTCTAAAAAGTAGTTTAATTCACTTAACAAAAATGTGCATGTGATTACTGTCTTTTTCTGCATTCAGTTAAAACAGGTGGTAAGCTTCCGAACTTATGAAAACGCTCACAAACACACACACACATAGAAGGGGTTTGGATTACTCATTTTATAATTTTTTTTAAAAAAATGACAAAGACAGTGTGTAATTTACGGGCCTATTTGTGCATGTTACTAATTGTTTATTCTAAATAATATAGATATATATGTATGTACATATTATTTAATGTTTGCATTATCAAACATATAAATACATGTAGTAATAATTAGGTAACTCTGATGAGTTAGGACTTAAAGTATATACACATATATTTATACTGGACCACACGGATATATTTGCTAAGTGTGTACTCATGAGATTATACGTGACTATCGACTTTTCGAATAGTGTAATTCACTTCATTTTGAACATTGATGTTGAGTATATTTTAAATGGTGAGGTGAGAGACAACTAACTGCACAGGATGGAATAGATAGGCTTCTGTGTGAATAGTGAGAGTGAGTGTTATATTACTTAAGTAAGAGGTATGAAACAAGAAAGCACTTACTGACAAAGAGTAGGTTGTATTGAGTAGAGATTATACAATATGATGATATATATATGTATATACAGGTGTCATCTAGGAAGTGGTGAGTTAAGGTTGAAGAAGACAGACAGACAGAGGGAGAGAGAGAGAGGGAGAGTAGTCAAGTGAGCTAGAGGAAGAGATATTATGAGTAGTATGAGTGTGAGGTAGAGTGATGAAAAATGCGCCAAAAATCAACAACTTACGAGCATCCATCTGAATGTCTACGATATCTGAAACAGTTTTTTTGGTGCACATTTTATTGACAATAATTACAATAAATATTACTAACGATAGTATTTTTCAGTAGTATAGTTGCCATAATCACATATGCAACTTACTTGAAAGGGGTGCTTTAGGCTTTTATCCAGAGACAAGTAAACTTCAAAACTTCAAGGGGACAAAGAATTTTCGTCCGTAATACAAGAGAAAAATGTCATTTGGACTTCAGCAAGTCTATTGACATACAATTATATTGTGGTGAAAGCTGGCTGTTAGTCAAAATTGGTGGACAGTAATTTACGTCAATGTTTATGTCCCCAATATTGGTCGTGAGAAAAATGAGAACAAAAACTTTGCGTAAGTGGATACAGTTAACATATAGATGATCTAATATTCAAGAAAGAGTCACAAAGAGATGCAAGGTTAACTTTCTGTGAGAAACAACCACCAATCAGAAGACTGTGTTTGTCTGTTAACAATAATCCATAATATGTACATAGAAATCTATAAATATGTGTTGATTTCCTTAATAAAGGATCTGTTGACTGGCCCTTGTCTTCTGTTGTAACATTATATCTTCCTTTCAGCACTGAGCATTTTTTTTCATGCTTTAGTAGTGGAGTACCGGACACAACGACTAGCTGCTGCCTTCATTATCCAGGAGGGTGGAATGTCAATCGTTTTACAAAAGTATACCAGGGCAAAATTTATCATACTTGCTTTGTGAAAAAACAGAATCTTGTTCCAGCATAGAGTTTTATTGTATTTCTTTACGTTCCGCCAGTGGAACATAGTAGGCTTCAAGCTAGAGTCTTGAAGTTTCGGTGGCAGCGATTTTCTTTTTCACACAGTGGGATTGTTCGCCTCATGCTAAGCCTTTCGTCTTTACCAGTCTTATCACTGGTGCGTTGGTGGCCGGGAAAATGAAACCAAAATCACATGAGACAGGTCGGTGAGCATTCTACTATTGTACCACCGACACCACCGATGCACTGATGCTCACCAACGTAGATTACGAATCAGATTTCACACATATACAGGCATGCATGCATAAATTCACTGTTTTTCAGCTTTGCAAAAGTTAGAAGGTATCCTACAAAACTTGGGGGAAGTATATTTGGAAAAAGTTACACCCTGACCAACCTTGCACCACTGACCATGTACCAATGAACTAATCAAAATTAAGGAAAGAAAAAAGTGATGAAATTGTCAAAAAGATGACCAATGGATAACAATTTTTTGGAGATCTGTTTAAATATTTCTCATCCTACCTCTTTTAATCTATTTCAACCATAAACTCCTAACTTCTTCCATGCAAAAGGCCAATTTAGTTATCTTGTCAAGCAAGCGTTTTCCGTTTCTCTGCAAGTTTTAGTTACTCAATCAGTTCATAATTATCCACATAGTAATTAAACACTTAATCTTTCTAGAGCTTGGTAAATAAGTCTGAGCGAAAGAGGTATAATCTAATTTGGTTATCTTATGCATAACTCTGTTAATAGAAGAGAAGATGACTCAGTGCGAAGATGGACAACAGGAAGAGAAGCTGCGTCCAGTGTACACTGCACTGAACAAAGTAGTGAATTAGAAGAGTGCTAGGAAAGACAGAAGACAATTCTGAGACACGCTGGCCGGCGGCAAGTGAAGCAGAACAGGCAGGTAAACTGCAGGTAAAAGAGACGTCCGAATATTATATTCGATAACCAGGTCTCTATCCGGGAAGAGACCGACGCAGATAAGGAAAGAAATAAAAGATGTTCAGGGGAACCTGATTACCAAGCAGAAGAAACAAGTACAACAATGGGGTGACCGCTTCAATAGACTCTTAAATCGGCCATCACCTGCAACTCACCCACAAATACCATCGACAGCACGCACACAACTGCATGACAGTGGACAACAATTCTCCGACGAAAGTACGAATCTTGAGTGCTATCAAGCTTTCGAACATGGGCCAAGAAGGCAGAATGACCAGACGGAATTCCCCCTACCCGAAGCACTGAAGACGTATTCACACCATTATTGCGAAAGGTTTGGAAGGAAGGAGAGCTGATTACCAATTAGAAGAGAGGCTGGTCACCTTGTCATTCTACCAAAGAAGGGCAACTTCCGCCTTACTTTGAAATAACTAGCTTGAATTCATGCTCTTGTCCACGCCAAATAAATTACTAGGTCGCCTTATCCTGGACAGAGAGAGAGCAAAATACACACTGGTTGCAGAACTCCATTAGCCCCACCGGAACAAGCCAGCTAGATTCAGGAAGGTAAAGTCATGTGCTGATAAAATTGCTAAGCTACGCATCATCATCATCATCATCACAGAACAAAGCATAGAATGGCAGTCAAACCGCTCTCTACTTCAATAGTTTCATCGACTGCAAAAAGACCTTCAACAGACAGCGCTGACGGAGAAGCTGTTCGGAAACTGATTCAACACTACGACGTGGAGTGCCCACGTCTTTATCGACCTAATTCAACAGGCAACAGCTATATGGCAATGCCACTTGTAAGGTGATGCACAATGGAAAACTCAGCCTCTGAAGTGAGGGAATACAGAAGTAAGACAAGCTGACTGTCCACCTACCTGCCTGCCTATTATCACCAACGGTGACATTCGTTACTGTGAGGGACTGGATCACAGGCGTCAGACTGTGCGTTGGCGGTGAGTAATTGAGAAGACACAAATACGCTGCACTCACCGATGAGAAGACTCGAGAAATTGTGGTTTTCGCGTGTAGATGATTTATGCCGTTGAATGTCAGACAAACAGAAACACAAAGTGGAAGACTTGAGAGTAGGTGGGCAAAAACTGGCAACAAACTGACTGAAGAGGCTGGTTGGCTGCGTGGCTGGTTGGTTGGCAGTGAAGACAGGACTGACTCCATCCAGGTGATGAAGATAGAGAAGGTGGAGACAGAGGTGATGAAGGTAACTAACCACCAACAACAGCGACAGCAACAACAATAACCAGCAGCATCAGTTACCATGAACAGGAGAAGGGGGTTGAAAGAGATTACTTCTTGCCTTTCTTACTTATGTAGCCTAGACACCAGCGTCGTTTCAACCACAGGCAGTCGTCTGAACGGATGAAGATGCCGAAACGAGCTAGCCATTCAGTGACAATCGGGAAGGCGAGATACTACGCCTTCATCAACCTAAAACCAGTTTGCAGATCTTCTACTTCACTCCACCTCAGCATGAACAATAAGATTTGGATTTTTAACACAAATGTGAGTGAAGTCAATCAGTCAGCCAGTTAGTGCTGCTGCATAGGTCAGAAACTTGAACTGTGTGTGCCTCACGAAAAGCATTTCCGACAGCCATTTGCAGACATTTATCAAGTGGTTAGTTCACATGGTTCGACTATCGGAGATGCCACTAAAGTTGAAACTAAATCGAATGTTGTTAAATACCTTAGGCTGTGCATTTCCTGTGGACACCTTTCATCGCCTTCCTACATTATGTTAGTTTCCAGAAAGATATTTCATTTTACGTTCTATGTGAGGAAGTTAAGACGACCTGGTATCATTCCGTCTCTACCGTTACACTTTGTTAATTCTCGGGTCACTCGAGAAGGACTTTTTCTGTTACACTGCGAAGGGTACTAAAAGCCGTCAGTAGGGAGAGTGAGTGGAGTGTTGCCATTCAAACTTGTCGATGCTATTATAGATAGACAAATGGATTCCTGCAAGAAATTAGCAAATATTAGCAAAC